TATCTCATAGTTGTTTTGATTTGCATCTCTCTTAGAGCTAGGGATTTTGAGCATTTCTTCATATGCTTGTTGGCCATTTGAATGTCTTCTTTGGTAAAGTGTCTTTTCATATCCTGTGCCATTTTCAATTAGATTATTTACCTTTATCTTGTTGTGGTGTGAATGGGTCCTTCTAAGAATCAAATCCCTATGCACATCCAAAAACTTCTCTAACAGGGTAAAAAGGGAAGCAACAGACTGGGAAAAAGTATTTGGTAATGACATGTCAGATAGGGATTTATATCTAGAATTTATAAAATACTTGAGCACCAAGTGGAAGTGTAAAATGGTGCAACCATTATGGAAGGCGGTGTGGTGCTTTCTCAAAAAGTTGCAAATAGAGATACCATATGACCCAGCAATTCCACTACTTGGGAGAACATTACTGCCACCCAAGCAGATATATGCACACCCATGTTAATCACGGCTTTGTTCACAATAGCAAGGAGTTGGAAACAACCTGAGTGCCCATCAACAAACAAATGGATAGAGAAGTTCTGGTATAGTCACACAATGGAATACTACGCTGCATTGAAAAACAAGGAACTCATGAAATGTTCTTCAAAATGGGTGACCCTAGAGGACATTATGCTGAGTGAAATATCTCATTCACAAAGGACAAATACTGCATAGTGCCACTGTTGTCAAACAGGACTGCCATCGCAGTTGGGGGAAGACTGAGAAAGATGGGATAAATAATGTATACTGCATTGAAACAAATGAGGGAGAGAACTGTTTAAAAGGGATATGTGATTGGGTTTTATTGTCATGACTGGAGTCCAGAATGAAGGCTGCATAATGGAGTGGACTTGGGGGAGGGATTGTAAAACAATGAAAGAATTTTTCTTTAACTTTTCAAAGACAAGAGTGTATTGGGGAGGGGAAGGGTGGGCAGGGAGAAAAGTGCAACAATGAGTGAATGGAAATCCAAAGTCTCTGTAAATTTTCATTAAAATTAATAATAAGAAGGAGAATAAGGGATAAGGGCTTCCTTTGCTTTTGGTGCCATCTTTGTAGCTACCCTTAGGTTTCACAATAACCTTGAATTTATTTTCATGTATGTTTCATGAGATGTGGTTCCTACCTTAGCTTTCTGCTAAAAGTCCAGTTTTTTCAGGACTATTTGTTGAAGAAGCTGTCATTTCCCATTTGATAGGCTGATTGTAGATAGATGGGTTAATTTCTGAGTTCTCAATTTTGTTCCTTTGGTCTGTGTGCCTGGTTTAACAACCGCTATGTAATAGGTTTTAAGATTGGGAAGTATTATGCCTCCCACTTTGAAAAACTTTGTTTTTCAGAAGTGCTTTTCTTATTCCGGGTCCTTTTCCTTTCCAAGTAAACTTGCTAATTGCCTTTTTCTTTTTCTTTTTTTTTGTCTCTTTTTATCTGTATTGAGATTGTATTCAACATCTAGACTGCTTTTGGTAGAATTGTCATTTTCAGTCTACTGAGTCTCCCTGTTCATGGACAAGGGAAATGTTTTTATTTAGGTCTCTTATTGTTTCTCGCAGTAGTATTTTGTAGTTTTCTTTATAAAGGTCTTTTGTGTCTCTTTTAGTTTTGTTCCCAAATATCTCAATTTTTGGTTTGCTATTGCTCACAGCTTTAGTTTGCTTGGCTCCACACTCAACACTCTTGGCTCCAGTAGCCAGGAAATTAAAAGGCGCATTGCCATGGGAAAGTCTGCTGTTAGGGACCTCTCCAAAGTGCTGAAGAGCAATGGTATCTCTTTGGAGACTAAGGTGCATCTGATACAGGCCATGGTCTTCGCAGTCACTTGTTATGCATCAGAGAGTTGGACAATGACCAAGGAGGATAGAAGGAGAATTGATGCCTTTGAGCTGTGGTGCAGGAGAAGAGTGTTGAGGGTACTGTGGACTGCTAGGAAAACAAACAGATTCATCCTGGAAAAAGTCAAACCGGGTGGCTCCTTGGAGGCAAGGATTCTGAGGCTCCGTCTAACATACTTTGGACATGTTATGAGGAGAGACTGCTCCTTGGAGAAGGACATCATGCTTGGGAGGGTGGAGGGACAGCGTAGGAGGGGAAGGCCCTCTATGAGGCGGATTGATTCAGTGACTGGGATAATCGGGATGAGAGTGTCAGAGACAGTGTGATTGACACAGGACAGAGCAGAGTTTAGGGCTGTTGTACATAGGGTCGCTATGAGTCGCAAGCGACTCAATGGCACATAACAAAAACAACAACACAATAAATGATACTGCTTTCTTAGTGTTCTTATCTGTGTTTTTCTTGTTACTGTAGAG